GCCAGGTGCCCTATCTACTCTACAGCCTATCCTACAACTACAGCAATGAAAGCAACCAGACAACTTGACTACCAGCGAGTGATGATGTCAACACCCATGCCGACCTCCATCTCCACCAGGTACGTGTCCTCTTCCCCACACTCTCCCTTGTTACCCACACAGCGCCCTTCACCTCCGAAGACCACCTTCGCCCTTCACCCTCACTGCACCCTCATGCGGCCCGGCTATGGCCGCTTGTGCCTTGCATGCAGGCAACGCCCTATCGCCTAGCGGTAGCCTGCTTGACCTTAGCGCAGCGCAGCTCTGCACAACGCAACACACATGCATCTGCGCAGCGTGCCCGCAATGCCAGCATTGGCCAAGATCCCTGCCCACTCGCCCTGCTTGCCTATATGCCAGTGCAGTGTGTGGGCGGCCTTCCTTCAGCCTGTGACCGGGACCCAGAGGCTGAAGCCAACCCGATACAGTTGGGGCCCGGGGCAATGCAGTTGCGCCTCTTTCATCAAGGCCTGCGGCCAGATTCAGATAGTGGGCCGATTTCCCTTTGGCATTTTCGGCCTCTATACCCAGCATGCATTGTCGGCCTCACATTCGAGTGCCCAGGGCCTAACTAACTCAGAGACCCTGGGCATTTCAGCATTTGCTGAAATCCGAGACTCGGTGCACTACAACCAACTGGCGTGCTGCAGCTGTATGGACCCCACTTCGTGAAATGTTGGCCGAGAGGGCTCTTGTTGATTTGCTGGCCCGCCTTCACTTAGGGCGGGCACGAGGCTTGCTGGGGCCTTAGCCCAGAACATGTACATCATGSCAAGGCCCCTACTTGAGGGCTCAATCCTCACATTCCATCCCCCTTAGCTTCGAAAGTCCGCTGAGATGCGTACTTCGCAGGTGCCTTCCCTTTTAGCTTCCGTTCATAATCTGCCACCACGTGAGGAGCTGTTTCCATCAGTTCCTCCCGGGTAAACCACCGATCTTCTTTCGGATCCAAATGGTGCCTGAATCTGATCCGGTACTCTCTCTTGGGTTTAGGAGGTCTTCCTCGACCCAACGGCTTGGCAACAGGCATGTCCCTGTGATCCACAATGTTGTTGATGTCGACTTGTCCATCCATGGTTGGGGGCAGCATTGATCTCCTGGAAGGGAATTGATCAGTCTCAGCGAAAGGTGCAAGCTTTGAGGCATGAAAGACTGGGTGAGTGCGTAGGTGCCCAGGGACACGAATGACATATGTGGGACCATCCAACTCATCTCCCACTACATCCAAGACTTCCCAGGGACCAAAGTATTGAGGCATTAGTTTTCGAGAGATTCCGAATTCTTGTCCTAGCTCGCTAGCCTTGACCCAGACACGTTCCCCTACCTGATTTGTGGACTGTCTACGATGTTGATTCTCAGAAGCAATCATTGCTTGCTGAGCTTTCTTCATGTGCTCGACAACTTCTTGCAGCAACCTCTCATAATGCACACCGTACTCCAATGTGCCTAGGGTTGCAGCAGGTCGATTTTCAGGTAGGAGGAAGTCCAACGCGGATCTAGGCTTCCATCCCAAGTGGAGCTGGTTAGGCCTCACGCCGGTGCTGCTGTGCACAACATTGTTGTACATACTGGCGATGAGTGGCAACTTCTCATCCCAATCATCTTGGTTGGGCTTGATGTAATGCCTCAGCAAGTGCTGTACAACTCTATTCATCTGTTCGGCTTGTCCGTTGGCTTCTGGATGATTTCCTGAAGTCATCTGAAGTTGACTGCCCATTTGTTCCGCAGTCTTCTTCCATAGGTCACTTGTGAATCGGACATCTCTATCACTAACGATGGTCTTTGGTAAACCAAAGTCCCGCACCCAGTTGTCCGTAAACAACTCGATGACATGGTCAGTCCTCGCACTTTCTGGCATGGCAACTAGTCTTGCGTATTTGGTGAATCGGTCTATGATGACGAAGATGTGCCTTTTACCACTCTTGCTAGTTACGAGGGTGTCCATGAAATCCATGGAAACACTCTGTCCTGGACCAGCAGGAATAGGTAAGGGCTTAAGCAACCCAAGCGGTGCTTGAGTTCGTGGCTTGTCCCGCTGACAGACTTGACAGGTCTCTACGTACTTCTTTGCGTCATCAAACATACCAGGCCACCAAAATCGCTGTACTAGATTAGCACTCGTTTTCTTGTAGCCAAAGTGACCCGTTGCGTCATGGCATTCTCGTAAAAATAAACTACGCAACTCTTCACTAGATGGAACTACCAATCTCTTTATTCCGGCCTTATCAAGATAGAGTAGCCCGTCCACCATCACAAACTCACTTTCTGTGGCCTTGTCTTTTACCTGAAGTTTTCGGATGATGTCCATCGTGACAGGGTCTTCCTGATAGGCTCCCACCAATGATTGAGTTACTTCATTAGATACGCCAAATTCAGAAACTAGCGCACCTAGGTAGTCTGCTCTACGGGATAGYGCRTCTGCAACCTTGTTDTACTCTCCYTTCARRTACTCAAGCTTGAAGTCATATTGRTCTATGACCTCAATCCATCGCTTGAGTGCATCWGAAAGAGCCGGTTGAGTCTTGATCCATTTGAGGGTCTGATGATCAGTCCTCAGATAGAAGAACCTTCCCAAAAGGAAGTGTCTCCAATGGACAAGTGCCTTGTAGAGAGCATAGAGTTCCCTTTCGTAGGTGGACTTAGCCAACTTCTTCGATGGCATCTTCTTACTCGTGTACTCAATCGGTCTCAACTTTTTCCCATCCTAGTGAGCCAGCACTGCACCAATGCCGTATTGGCTTGCGTCAGTGGTCACTATGAATGGCTTCTGCGGATCGAGAACCATGAGGACTTCATGATTCATGAGTGCATGCTTCAATCTCTTGAAAGCACCCTCGCACTCATCACTCCAGTCCCACGGTGTGTCAAGTCGAGTTAGATCTGTCAAAGGAGAGGCGACTGTAGAATAGTTCTTTACGAAGTTCCTATAGTAGCCGCACATTCCTAAGGATGATCTGACCTCAGTGACAGTCTGAGGTCGTGGCCAGTCTCGAATACTAGCCACCTTCGCATCCTCCGGCCTAATCCCTTCCGCGGATACTTCATGACCCAAGTATAGTATCTTAGTGCGACCGAATTCACACTTCTCTAAGTTGACCTTATACTTGTGTTGTCGAAGGAGTGAAAGTACCGTCTCAACATGTTGTGCATGCTCCTCGGCAGACTTACTAAAGATCAGAATGTCGTCTAGGTAGACCACGACAAACTTATCTAAATGCTCATGGAAGATCCGATTCATAGCGTGCTGGAATGTACCCGGCGCATTGCAAAGACCAAAGGGCATCACTACAAACTCATACATAACGCGTCTGAAAAGTTGTCTTGTGTTGGTCCTCAGGTCTTATTGCGATCTGGTGATATCCGGATTTCAAGTCTATCTTACTATAGTACTTGCATCCCTGCACCCTATCCAATAGGTCGTTTATGCGAGGTAGAGGCTCTGCGTTCTTCACAGTGATGGCATTGAGGCCTCTATAATCAATGCACGTCCTCAAAGTACCCCCCTTCTTCGGTACGAATAGCACGGGTGATCCGTAAGGGGAAGTACTAGGCCAAATCCATCCCTTCTCTGTCAGCTCCTTGAGTTGCTTTCGAAGTTCATCTAACTCGGCAGGGGCCATCCTATAGATCCTTCCCTTTGGGGTCTTACTCCCTGGAATGATTTCTATAGCGTGGACGACTTCCCTATCAACAACTCCTGAGGGCTCCTCGAACAAATCATGGAACTTAGCAACGACGCTTTCTATCTCTGGGGGTGTTTTAACGGCCTCCCCCTTCTCAGAGACATAAACGAGGTACATACCTTCCTTTTGGTTTTGCTTGTAGTAATAGAATGCTGATGCACACAAGCAGCCATAGGTATCGATAATACTGCTGGCCTTGAACTTAGTCAATCTGACAGTTCGACCATCGGGCAACTTGTATTTAAGCACCTTCTTATCCCAGTCGAACTGGGGCTCAGCAACTTCGAGGTAGTACATGCCTAACAACATATCGAATGGCAAGTCGTCGCTAACCAAGAACGAGATCTTATGGTTAAGCTCACCTCCTCCATAGGAGAAGGTACAAACTACGTCCTTGATGTAGTATGTCACTATCATGCGCTCCTTGTTGGCCAAAGTACCCGGTCGTGTAGGTGCAGCCTTTCCAAACAGTCGTGACGTATGTAATTCCACGTGGAGCCTATATCTATGAAGGCACCACATTTGCGGCCTACATCGACTTCCACCACGAAATGTTCCCCACTAGGACCTTTCCTTAGCGCCACCCAAGACTCACGAGGGTCCTTGTTTGACCACTCACTCTTTAAGTCTTCTAAGGCTTCAGACACATCTAACGTACAGAGTATAGTTTGGTCTAGTTGTGTCTGCGGGGTGACTAAGGGGTCATTAGCCTTGGCCTTGTCATGAAGTGGGGAGGGTATCAATCCCACTTCATCTTG